TATATATAAGTTAGAAATGGGTCAAGAGAATTATTTTATGGATTAACAGGCTACAAAAAACGAGCCTCCCTGGTGGTGCAAGTGGTTAAGAGTTGCACTATGAAGCTATCCACAGCCCTGCAGCACCAGTTTGATCCCCAGCCAGAGGTGACCCACATGGCACAGCAGACCTCTCCTATCTTGCCCACTGCTCCCTTCAGGAGTGTATTTCAGTAGATTTGCATGTTCTGTTCCCCATTCTGTCTCTGGAGAATTCTTTCACATGGCCCCCATCTCTGGCCTGTACCCCAGTTCTTGTATGCATAAATAAATAAATCTTAAAAAAAAAGTTATCTGTGATGAATATCTCTATTGGACTTCTTTTTAAAATAAAGCATATAGGATGCAGGTAACTGGCTATCATTCTCATTTTTAAGACTGGGAGAACCAGAATTAATGTATAGGCCTTTATCCTTCAGGCTGTTTACAGCTTACTTCAATTAAATAAGACTGTCAGGCTCCCCAAAAGTAAGATACACTGGAACACACAATCCCCTCACCTTTAACCGCTACCCCTGGGATGGAAACGTCATATGAATGAATCTTCCAGGTAAATGAGAAAAGCAAGTTCCAATATGCTCAGCTTAGTGATTCTTAATAAAAGTATTTCTGAGTTTTAAAATACATTTACTAAAGAAAGAGTTATATTTTCCAGGCTTTAGAGTGACATTTTTGTGATAAGGCACATGGGTTACACTCATTTGATGATCTCTGGGTCACATCATCCACCCTCGCCCCAAGATTTGGTCCCTTCAATGCTTTCATGCTGTTCCCTAGTCCTTGCAGCTCCAGGAATGCCCATCAAGGTGCTTTGCTTTCTGTTGTGCCCCCAGATTCCAGGACGACTTCAGGCATATAGTAGACATCCAACTAGTGGTGGATCATGAGTGTGGGAGTGAATTCATGATTAGATGAATGGATCTAATGGAGGAGCAACAATGCTTTAGCAAAAAGAAGTGCTTGCTGTTTTCTGGTATAAAGAGCATTTCTGGTATCTTTGCAGGTATTTTATTTTCTGTCTTGTTGCCGATATCTTCTCAGCCTAAAAATCTGTTCAGTGTTCTCACACTCAATTAATCTATAAAATACAGATCTCATCAAATAAACCTTGATACTTTTATTTTTTTTTCAACTCATATTTTGATGGCTCTAGAACCCAGCTAGAAAATAGCCTCCTATGTCTTTCCCCAGGGTCACTATCAAAAAGTACTCTATGCACTTAGGAAATATTTCAAGGTAACATCTTACATTCCCAAAACTCATTGTATTTGTACTCTGCTTCCTCATAACATACATCTCATTGACTGTCATTGACTTCCCCAGAACATTCATTGTCTAATGGCATCTATTACTTTCCTCTCTGCTCTGATAGAAAGGTGGACCACTACTCTCTGTGTGTAATGTTTACATTCAAAGATAATTGTTGGGATTTACCTATTTGTCTGTGGTATCACTGAGAGCAGCAGTCTTGGAGAAAGTTTACTGGAAGGGTAGGGGAGATTTGGAATGATTACACACACACACACACACACACACCTATCACCTACTGTCTGAACCCAGGATATCACAGTCGACACAGTTCCTCTTCATTTTTGCTTCCCATGGACCCATGGATGGGTGCAGCTCTCCCATCCACTGCTCTCCCTGCCTCCATAGACCCCAGAAGAACTGTTCACTCCAGATTTTGTGTACTCTGAAGCTAGTAAAACAAAAAAACTCACCTTTCTTCAGACTTACAAGGGTGGGGTTTACCTCTTATCCTTGCTACAGGTATGATTTCTAAATCTTCACTTCCTATCTTTGGATTAACTTCTGCCAGGCATGGACAAAGTGAAAACACTGATATCATGCATGAGCAACTTCAGAACCCATAAGAGAGAAGAATTTCAATAAATATTCACTGCTGAGCTATTGCTTTTCAAAATGTGGAATATTTATTCTTATCTATCATCACCATGTTATGCTCAAAGTAGAAAAACATGCATATTTTTCAGTGTTCCAATTCTTGCAATCATTCTCCCTGCCAAAATGAAAGCCCTGTTGAATAACTTTGTGTGTCCAAAAATGTAGTACTTTTAAATTATTAATTTTGATACAAATCATAAAATAATTTTATAGTTTCACATTTTACATTTAGCAATCCAATGTGAGTTAATTTGCGAAGGGTGTAAAATGTGTGTGTCTGGATTCATTTTTTCACAGATGAATATCCAGTTCTTCTAGTATCCTTTAGTGATAAGACTAGCTTTGCTTTAAAAAAAGAAAAAAAAGAACTAGCTGACCATACTTATGTGAGTATTCCCACTCCATTCATTATTTGCCTATGCTTTCTCACTGCTTGATTACTGTAGCTTTATAGTAAGTCTTGCAGTTAGTTATTGTCAGTCTTTCACCTTTACTCTTTAACTTTACTACTGTGTTGGTTATTCTGGGCATTTGCTTGTCCATGTAAATTTTAGTATCAGTTTACTGCTATGCACAGTATAACCTTCTCTAATTTGATTGAGATTTTAGTGAATCAGTAGATCCAATGACAGTTGCCAATATTGTGTCTTTCTATCCATGAAGATGAACTATATCTATTTAAATAGTTCTTTTACTTAATTTTTCAGAATTGTGTAGTTTACCTCAAATAGATCTGATATGTATTTTATTAGACTTACCCCTAAATATTTCACTTTTGGAAATGTTCATCTAATTAGTATTGTGTTTTTAACCACAAATCCCTTGTTCATTGTTAGCATATGGGAAAGCACATAAGTTTTCATGTACAGCTTTATCCTGTGAACTTAATTAGCTCTAGGAGATTTTTTTGTCAATTCTGTCAGATTTTCTACATAGAATATGTCATCTACAAAGAAAATTTTTATTTTTTCCTTCCAAATTTGTATGCCTTTCATTTCCTTTTCTTATTGCATCATCTAGGACTTCTAGTTTAGTATTGAAGGGAGTGGTGAGTGGAACACCATTGCTTTGTCTCTAATCTTAGTGTGAAAGTGAGCTTCACATTCATTATATTAATTGTTGTTTTTTTTTTTTAAGATTTGTTTATTTGTGAATACAGAACTGGGGTACAGGAAACTCAGGGGTGGTGAAAGACTTCACCAGAGACAGAGTGGGAGCAGAACAGGCAGATCGACGAAGTACACTGCTGAGGGGAGCAGCGGGCGGGTCAGGAGAGGTCTGCCCACACTATGTGGTCACCTCTGGGGCAGGCGGGGATTGAACTCATGTGGAAGTGGCTTTAGCATCCCAGTGCAGTGCTTTAACCCGCTGCGCCACCAGGGAAGGCCAATTGTTGGGTTTTTTGTTTGTTTGCTTTTAAGATTTATTTATTTCTGCATACAGGAATGGGGCTATAGGCTAGGGGTGTGGGGTATGAGAAGATTCACCGGAGACAGAGTGGGGAGCAAAACAGGCAGATTTACTGGATGACACTGCTGAGGGGAGCAGCGGGCAGGTCAGGAGAGGTCTGTTGTGCCATGTGGGTCACCTCCGGGGAAGGTGGGGATTGCATCTTGCACTGAAGCAGCTACGGCCAGCTGGCAGAGCTGTGTCCTAACCCGTTGGCCACCA